GTGTGTGTGTGTGTGTGTGTGTGTGTGCAGGGGGAAAAAAAAGAGTACTAGAGAAAGAGATAAATAGAGAAACACTTATTTGTAGTGTGCTACATTAGACATACTGTACATACTCTGAAAATATATGTCAACCTTTAAGCGCCTTTTCATAACTTTCTTTTCATGCCTCTCAGAGTTTTGTGTTAACATCTCAGTAGGGACATTTCAATAAGTCTTTATGAATGCTGTGTTTGATTGCTTCATTAATCACATCCCGTTTCTTTTTTCTTTTCCACCTTTTATCCACTTGTGTCATGTTGCTTTTCTCTGTCAGTGAGAAGAGTAGGCAGAGGTAATAATTGGTCATAGACATGTCCTGGCTGACTTTAAAACTGTGTGTTTGTGCTTGTGTACTATATATACTGTATGTTACACAGAGGAAATGTGAACCCAAGTGAAACCCTGCACTTCTTTAGGAAAATATAAACAATAGTAGATAAGTCATCCCTGCTTCTCTGCTTACATGTGGTTTTACTCAGTCCTGATCTTTCACAACACATCAAGGCTGCTTTGCAAGTGAACTAGTATGATATTTAAAGAAATAGTGTAAATTCTTCCAGTATTTACTCACCCAAAAAATCCCCATAAATGAATCATAAAATAATTTCTTTCAACTTTTGTACTATATTACAAAGTCCTTTAATATTTTTATATAGAAAAATACAAAAATATCACAGTAAAAATGTAAGAATACACTACCGTTCAAAAGTTTTGTTTTAGCAAAGATTTATTTGAATGTTTTAAAGTTTCTTATGCTCACCAAGTTTGAACTTATTTGAAAAAATATACAGTAAAACAGTGATATTGTGAAATATTAGTACAATTGAAAATGACTGTTTTCTATTTTTTTATATACAGTATTATACAATGTAATTTATTCCTGTGATGACAAAGCTGAATTTTCAGCAGTCATTACTCCAGTCTTTAGTGTCGCATGATCCTTCAGAAATCATTCTAATATTCTGATTTGACTTTTTTTTTAATTTAATTTAAAATAGTTTTTTTTTGTATCACAGTAAAACTCTTTATTATCAGAATTCAATAAAAATTTTACTGAACCCAAACTTTGGAACAGTGGTGTATATAATTTTACATATATTGATTTTGTACAGATATTTAATTTGATCTGTAAGTCATTGTGTATCTTGGCATCTTTGGACCAGAACTGATGATACCACAGTTCAGGAGAGTGTAATAGATGTATATATACATTAGTATTCCCAGGTCAGTTGAAAGCACGCGTGAGTGTGTGTTTGTTCGTCTGTCTCATCCCACCCTGCCTGACCCCAATCCTGGTGTAGGTGTTCCAGTGTCCAGTCGTGTATCCCCAAAGATTCAGCAGCGGCTCAACACGCTAAAACGACCCAAACGCCCACCACTCAGTGAGTTCTTCATGGATGACCAAGAGGAGATTGTAGAAGGTACGTGAATGAATTAAAAAAACATCAAACACACTTGGTAAGAAAGCTGCAGTAATGTGGATCAGCGTATTTCTTCTTCCACAGTTCCTCAGGTAGATCCTAACGCCCCGAAGCCAGAAGGCCGGCAGATAATCCCGGTGAAGGGGGAGCCGTTGGGAGTGGTCAGTAACTGGCCTCCTGCTCTTCAGGCAGCATTAGCTCGATGGGGTGCCACACAAGGCAAGAGCCCCGCCCTCACAGCTCTGGATATCACAGGAAAACCACTTTATACGCTTACGTATGGTAAGACTGAGCAAGGTCGCCTGCAAAACACTTACCTTGATTGAAAGCAGATGCTGGAATTGCCAAGAAAGGTGTAAGGGCTTTAAAAACTGAGTGATTGGTGTGTGATTGACAGGGAAACTGTGGAGTCGTAGTGTAAAGCTGGCCTACACTCTCCTCAACAAGCTGGGAACCAAAAATGAGCAGATCCTCAAACCAGGAGACCGGGTAAAATAAATATAGCTTAATAATATAATAATTTATTAGTAATAAAATATTAATATAATTTAGATGTGTGCATACTTTTTTTTTTTGTGCACTTATTTTAGAATTATTTATATGCTACTATAGTATTTATTGATCTAATAAATTACATTTTATTTTTCTATTTTCAGTTTTCATTTTAATTTTTGTTTTAGTAATTTTGTTATATGGTTTTATCATTTTTATTATTTTATTTTAAAAAAAATTCATTTAGCCTTACTTTATTTTTATTTGAATTTAAAACTTAATTTTATGTTAGTAGACATAATGTTAATGAATATTTAACATAGATTTCTAATATTTATATTTTATTTTATTTCGGCTTTATTTAAATGTTTTTTAAAAAAATATATTTTTAGTTTTAGTTTTCTGATTCCTCTTTGCAGCCAAAAATGACTGAATTCGCTGTGGCTTTTCTCAAAAATGGTCGTTTTCGTGCTGTTTTGTAGTGAAAACCCAGCAAAAATCATGATGTAATTAGTGTCAGTGACAATAATAGTACAATTACTTGTAAATCCTTTTCAAGTTTTTACAAATAAACAATTATATTGTCTATTGTGTAATATTTCTTTTGCATTATCATTATCGCATTGCTAGAATTACATTCCCACTCTCAAGTTACCATTGCTTTGTGGGAAAATTGTGGAAATAAGTGAAATATTCAAGTTGCTGCAAATAATACGGTATTTGCTTTATTTTGGATTAAATTCTGCAATCGCAGAATCGTGAAATCTTGGAGGGACTAGCTATGAGCAGCATATATTGTTAGAAGTAACGTTTATTTAAAAAAATGCTGCCATTTCATTATAATTATTTGTAAACAATGTCTTTTTATTGATCCAGGTAGCGTTGGTGTATCCAAACAGTGACCCTGGTATGTTCTGGGTTGCGTTTTATGGCTGTTTGTTGGCTGAAGTCATTCCTGTGCCCATCGAGGTTCCACTATCCCGAAAGGTAGTCACACATTTACCAATAATATATTATAAATAGCTTTCAAATCTAAATAGAGTGCCAGCAATTCATACTGGTATTGTGGTTGAAGTTATTTCTATGTGTTTGCAGGATGCTGGGAGCAGCCAGGTTGGTTTTTTGTTAGGTAGCTGTGGGGTGGGTCTGGCTTTGACCAGTGAGATCTGTTTGAAGGGTTTACCCAAGACCCCCACTGGAGAAATATTGCAGTTTAAAGGTCAGAGAATTCACATGCAAATTAATTATCCATTTCCTTTCAAAAGCCAGTCAGTGATGGTAATTTTTTATAACAGATCTAATACTATTTGGGTTTCTGATAGGCTGGCCCAGGTTAAAGTGGGTAGTGACGGACTCCAAATACCTCACAAAGCCTTCGAAAGACTGGCAGCCTCACATACCAACAGCCAACACAGACACGGCATACATAGAGGTAAGATCATGTGCATGCTTTATGTGTTTCTGTGTGTGTATGGTTGTTGAATTGGTGTAAATATTCTTCTCTCTTGTAGTATAAGGCCAGTAAGGAGGGCACAGTGATGGGTGTTGCGGTTTCAAAAGTTGCCACGTTAACACATTGCCAGGCTCTCACTCAGGCCTGTAACTACTGTGAGGGTGAGTGATGCTGTTGCTATGGAAACACCATCCTTTTGTTGCAGCTACACTAAACCAAAAAACTAGCTATGCAGCTTTATGCCCTGCTCGTTTGGAGATGTAACGAAATATGTCTGCATTCAGGTGAAACGCTGGTGAATGTTTTGGACTTTAAGAAGGACATGGGTTTGTGGCATGGAGTTCTCACGGTGAGTGACAAAAATGTCTCATCAATGCTGCTACTACAGATTTTTTCAGAATCAAGGTGTGTTGATCTGCCTACTGCAGATGCAATAACTGAAACTGGTGAGATTATAATTGGATGAATTCCCTAACCCTAACCTAGAAGAAATACATATTTAAATGCCCCACCCCCAGCCAAAAAGTGTAATATAATATACAGTGGGGCAAAAAAGTATTTAGTCAGCCACCAATTGTGCAAGTTCTCCCACTTAAAAAGATGAGAGAGGCCTGTAATTTTCATCATAGGTATACCTCAACTATGAGAGACAAAATGAGAAAAAAAATCCAGAAAATCACATTGTAGGATTTTTAAAGAATTAATTGGTAAATTCCTCGGTAAAATAAGTATTTGGTCACCTACAAACAAGCAAGATTTCTGGCTCTCACAGACCTGTAACTTCTTCTTTAAGAGGCTCCTCTGTCCTCCACTCGTTACCTGTATTAATGGCATCTGTTTGAACTCGTTATCAGTATAAAAGACACCTGTCCACAACCTCAAACAGTCACACTCCAAACTCCACCATGGCCAAGACCAAAGAGCTGTCAATGAGATGAAATTTTGTTATTGACCAAATACTTGTTTTCCACCATAATTTGCAAATAAATTCTTTAAAAATCCTACAATGTGATTTTCTGGATTTTTTTTTTCTCATTTTTTCTCTCATAGTTGAGGTATACCTATGATGAAAATTACAGGCCTCTCTCATCTTTTTAAGTGGGAGAACTTGCACAATTGGTGGCTGACTAAATACTTTTTTTCCCCACTGTATGTGTGTATTTTTTTAATTATTATTTTTGTTATTTTAGAAAATAATGACAAAAACAATAATGAAAATGGACAATATTTCCAGATCTGTCAGGTGTTCTAATAATTTTGGCCACCACTGTGTGTGTGTGTGTGTGTGTGTGTATGTATATATATAAATATATTGTTGCGGGGTGAATGAGAACACGGACTCTGTACTGGTCGAAAGAGCCCCAGAGGGTGATATATTTGCCCACACACTGATCACACGTGCTCTGATGAATGGTGCTCAGTGCCCAGTGCCCATCTCAGCGTGGTGCAGATCCCTCGCCCAGGGTGCCTTCGGAGTCTGTGAACAAGGAGAACCAAGCATTAATGTCGCCTGGAGATCCGGGGTGCCTTCCTCCTGGTGTCTCTTCTCCTGGCTTTTAAGGCCAGCGGGAACGAGCTCCAGGTGCGCCACTCATCACGCACAGGTGTTGTGCGTCAGTGATCAGTGTGGCAGCGGCGTTTCCAGAGCAACGCTAATCTGGACTCGGGATACTCGCCACAATATATATATATATATATATATATACAGAGCTGGATAGATTACTTACAAATTGTTGTTGTTAGCTACTGATTCTAAATTAAATTACAAAAATATTAATTAATAATGTAGTCCATTACATTACACATTTTAGATAATATAATCAGACTATATTTTGATTAATTTTAGATTACTTTTATACTTGTACCATATTCATGTTAAATTGCAAAGAAAATATATTCCATTTGATGTTATTAACAACATAAAGTGAATTAAGCATTACATTATTTCAAGGTTTCCCAAAGTGGTGTTTGTGAAGGAACTGCAGGGGGTTTGTGTGTTTAATGAAAAGCTAATTATTAATTAAGTCATGAAAATGTAAAATAAAAATAAATCATTTTAAAATAACATCAATTAAAATGACACTTATACAATTTTTTTATATTTTGTTTATCTGCATGTCATGTAGGCACTTTATAAAAGAACATTTAAAAGCTTTTTAATTCTAATATTGCTATTGTTTAAAAATATGTTATCAAGTAATCAATAAAAATGTAACTGTAGTCTGATTGCAAGTATTTTAAAATATAATTTAATCTAATTATAAGTACTTAATTTAGGAATCTGATTACGAAATCCAGATTACATGCTGGGCTGAGCCATGGGGTCATTAGGGTCAACACTGAAGACAAAAACTCTGCTCTCACCGTCCAGGATGTGGGACACGTCATGCCTGGAGGTGTGTGTGCTACTAATGCTAATTTTATATACCACCGATCAAACCGATCAAAAGTTTGGAATAATTAAGTTTTTTTTTAAATGTTTTTGAAAGAAGTTTCTTATGCTCACCAGGGATTTGGATAAAATCATGTTGTGAAATATTATTAAAAGACCTGTTTTCTATTTTAATATATTTTAAAATGTAATTTATTGCTGTTATGGCAAAGCTGGATTTTCAGCAGCCATCACTCCAGTCTTCAGTGTCACATGATCCTTCAGAAATCATTCTAAAATGCTGATTTGGTGCTCATACTACTTATTATTGTCAGTGTTGAAAACAGTTTTTGCTGCTTAAACATTTTGTAGAAACTATGATACACTAGCATTCAGAAGTTTGGTCTATGTAAGATTATATAGATAATTAACTTTTTTTCAACAAAGAATATATTGTATGTATAATATTTTTTCACAAAAATATTAAGCAGTAAAAAGAGTTTTTATCATTGATAATAATGAGAACCTTTATTAATATTTGATCATCAATAATAATTGATGTTAATAATAAAACTCTGCTCTCACCGTCCAGGATGTGGGACACGTCATGCCTGGAGGTGTGTGTGCTACTAATGCTAATATTATATACCACCGATCAAACCGATCAAAAGTTTGGAATAATTAAGGTTTTTTTAAAATGTTTTTGAAAGAAGTTTCTTATGATGTTGCTAAAAAGAACATTATTTTGTGTATTTGGTGTAATGAAATGTGTTTATGCGGTTTAAGGTTAAAAAAACACATTATTTTTATCCTATCCTATCCTATGTATCCTCAACAACCAGCACGGATCAGCTCTAGGCATGATGAAGCGGATATCGTCCTCTTTTGGAAGGCCAAACAAAGTAGTTTCGCTTTCACAACGAAACACACGGCGGGCTTGAGTGAGCGGAGGCCGGGGGCTAGAGTGAGTGGTGGCTGGAGTGAGCGGCTTGCGGCAACCACATGTGACGACCCCGGGCTGGACTCCGCTTCGTCCACGGTGAAAGCCGAGCCACAGCACGAAGTTGATGTGCTATTGACTTCAGGAGGAAAAAGACACAACTTACCCCTGTCTGTATAACTGGCTGTAATGTGGAGGTTGAGTTCTGTCATTGGACAGGATCTGGTCCCTCTGGAGGTGGTTGCTGAGAAGAGAATGATGCACAAATTGCTAGTCATTATGGATAACACCACTCACCCTCTAAATGACATTCTTGTTGCATTAAGGAGTAATTTTAGTTGGAGACTGATCTTGCCTCAATAGTGAACGGTATAGAAGGTCTTTTGTACCTACTGCAGTTAGACTGTATAACACATCTCTCGGATGCAGAGGCACCTTTGAACTTCTAGTGAGCTATAGATAGTTACATTTATTTTATATCTTTACCTGTATACCTTATTTTATCCTAAAATCTGAAGGGAAATTACCTGTTTTACCTGTATTTATTATTATCTATTGTATTTATTTTGTGTTGTATGGTTTATGTTTTGGCTGCTCATGCAAACCAATTTCCCTGCGGGGATTAATAAAGTTTATCCTATCCTATCCTATGTATCCTCAACAACCAGCACGGATCAGCTCTAGGCATGATGAAGCGGATATCGTCCTCTTTTGGAAGGCCAAACAAAGTAGTTTCGCTTTCACAACGAAAAACATGGCAACAACAATACTACAGCGAGAATCAAAGTTACGCCTTCTTTCTTTGCGTGAACATTTGGGCGACGTTATGCAAATCTTCCCACATCGTGACGTAGATATGTGGGGGCGTGTTAGAACGAGCCATTTTAGGTAGGCGTGGTTAACTCTTAACTTTTATAAAGAATATCTCTTTGGATTTGAGACTTTAGTATTTGCAACTTTACAGATCTTCTTAATGCACCAAGAGCTTGTAACACTTCAAAGAGAAAGGAAAAATAAAAATCGCATCATATGACCCCATCATATGAGCAATAAAACAGCATGTTAGATAGATTTTTGAAGGATCAAAATATTTAAAATTATAATATTTCACAGTATTACTGCTTCTACTGTTTTTGATTAAATAAGTGCAGAGATGTCTTTCAAAAACATTTAAAAAATATATATTTTTTTTAAAACTTCGTAGTGTCATTGAATCGTATGTGTGTGATTTGCATTGTCCACACATACAAAATATAATCATGGTATTACTGTAGATTTATAGAGCTATGGTATTCTCACTCACATTTCTTTCAGAGAAAAATCCAGTTCATAATACCATGTTATCCAAGTTTAAATATGTTTGTCAAGCACGCATGAAGTTAGCATGTGTGTTTGTGTTTGTGTGTGTTTTAGCATTGATGTGCATTGTGAAGCCGGATGGGCCGCCCATGCTGTGTAAAACGGATGAGATTGGAGAGATCGTCGTGAACTCTCGTGCTGGTGGAAACATGTACTACGGCCTGCATGGTGTCACTAAAAACACCTTTGAGGTATGATGATCAATTAAACACTCACATACACAGACAATGTTGTAACTTTGCACGGAATTACACACCATAAATATATTTCTGATGGAATAATGCTGCAGTTTTGATGTGTATGTGAATGTTGTGTTGTTTGTTTGAAATCTCGCAGGTGATCCCAGTCAATGCTAGTGGCACTCCTATAGGTGAAATCCCATTTGTGCGGTCAGGATTACTGGGGTTTGTTGGACCGGTAAGAGTGTGAAAAAAGGAAAACAAGAGAGGGACAGTGCATTTTTTTTCATGTGAATAAAATCTGTTTTCCCCCCTCTCTTCCTTCAACAGGGTAGTTTGATATTTGTGGTGGGTAAGAATGAGGGCTTGCTAATGGTTAGTGGCCGTCGTCACAATGCTGATGATCTAGTAGCGACGGCACTAGCGGTGGAACCAGTCAAAACTGTGTACAGAGGAAGGTGAGGGTCCCCCCTTAAATATGGAGAGAGAACAATGTCAAGTCAAGTCAAGTCACCTTTATTTATATAGCGCTTTTAACAATACAGATTGTGACAAAGCAACTGAACAGCATTAATTAGGAAAATAGTGTCAATAATGCAAAATGACAATAGTAAACACTCATTTTTCAGTTAAAGACAGTTCATCATTGAATTCAGTGATGTCAACATCCAGCTCAGTTTAAATAATATCTTTGCAATTATGTCAACGATAACGCTGGAAATGAAGTGTCCAGTTTATCAATGTAGTCTTACAATTTATTTTAGTGAGAAGATATTAATCTGAAGTGTGTGTGTGTTTTGTAGGATTGCGGTGTTCTCAGTGACTGTGTTCTATGATGAGAGGATAGTGATCGTAGCAGAGCAGAGGCCTGATGCCAGTGAAGAAGACAGCTTCCAGTGGATGAGTCGGGTTCTACAGGTGCAGACAAATTTATAGCAGGGATTTTAAATTAATTGTTTTATACTAATACTAAATCTGATCGGATGTCGGTGCCAATAGCCTCATGGGCAGCTCGCCAACAGCACGCTGACTATGGGCATCCCGTGTTTGAATCCCTACCTTTTCTGATCCCGCCCCATCTCTCTCTCCCACTTCGCTTCCTGTCAGATCTAAACTGTCCTATAATAAATAAAGTCAAAAATGCCAAAAATAAATGTAAAAAAAAAAAGAAATCTGATCGGATCTACCATGTTAATTCCATGGTACGAAAGGCAGTATATGTATACACATCTGTGACTGTACTGCCAATATGTGCTATTTTTTGGTGGAAAAATGGTTTGTGATAATTATTAAATATTGCTAATTATTTAATGAATATTTAATGCTGATGTATTATTTAAAGGTATTATATCAAAATCCATGTTGTTATGGTTAACTAAAACGATTACAAATCATTTTCATTTATTGAAATAAAGCTGAAATAAATAAAAATTACTAAAAAGGATAGTTCACCCAAAAATGGTGAGTAATTACCCCATTAATTACTCACCCTCATTTCGTTCCAAACCCGTAATCTTTGGAACACAAATTAAGATATTTTTGATGAAATCCGAGAGCTTTCTGACCCTCCATAAACAGCAACACAACTGAAAGTTTCCCAGGCCCAGAAACGTAGTTTATGGAGAGTCAGAGAGCACTCAGATTTAATCACAAATATCTTAATTTGTGTTCCGAAGATGAACGAAGGTCTTACTGTAACGGAGGGAACACAGGAAGCATGCGGATCCATCTGCAAGGCTTTATTCACAAGAGACGTGGTCAAAAACAGGCATAGGTCAGACAATGGCAAACAGGTATATTGATGGCAAGGCAAGAGGGATAATCCAGGTACAAGGCAAAGGTCCAGGCAGGGGCGAACGGTATCCAATTGGGCGAGACTCGATGGATAATCCAGGTACACAGGCAGTGATCAGAACACGGGGAAACAGACAAGGCAAGACAATGAAAACAAGGTAAACAAAACACTAGGCTCAGTAATGCAGCTATCGCTAGATGAGTGATAAACGCAGAACAATACACGAGACTAAAACAGAAAACACAGAATGGCACGGTAAGGCAGCTAACACTTGGGGAGTGAAAAATGCAGAACAATACACGGCAATCTGAACAGGAACCGAGAGAGTGTTAAATAGAGTGAGTAATGGCTCTCAGGTGAGCGTGTTATAGTGACGGCTGTGTGATCAGTGAATCCAGCTGTGTAAGTGCAATGGATGATGGGAGCTGTAGTCCAGAGTGACATGCAACAGTCTGTGTAGTGTGAGAGTCAATGTAATGGTAGAATGACCTCTAGTAGCAATCGGCCGGAAGGCCAAGGACCGGATTCGTGACACTTACGGGTTTGGAATGACATGAGGCCGAGTAATTAATGACAGAATTTTCATTTTTGCGTGAACTATCCCTTTAAACCTACAGTAAACTGAAAATATAAAAATAATAAGATCATTCAAAATATTAGTCATTATTATGATAGTATATAAATAATACTGAAATAACACTGTTTTTAATTAGCTTGATCTAGTTATGCCAATCAGGTTAATGCATTTACATTGAATATAGTTGCATTTTAATTAAGGCAGCAGTTTACCATGGTTAAAGTAAAATCACAACAGTGTCCTATTACTGCTTGTATAAATGTTAAGTCATTGTTTAGTTTAACACACATACGTTTGACAATCTTTTATATATGATGCATTTATTTGTTTGTTTGATGGTTTTTGTGTATTGTTTCACAACTGTAGGCAATTGACAGTATTCATCAGGTGGGATTGTATTGTCTTGCACTGGTTCCTGCCAACACCCTGCCCAAAACTCCCCTAGGAGGCATTCACATCTCAGACACCAAGCAACTCTTCCTGGAGGGAGCGCTGCACCCCTGCAACATCCTCATGTGCCCCCACACCTGCGTCACCAACATGCCCAAACCACGTCAAAAACAACCAGGTGTGTATGCAGGGGTTAAATAGAGATCTTAGAGGTGAGGGAAGCCTAAAATCTAGAGGTGAAAATCTGATGCATGTGATGTTTTCTCAGAGTGTTCTGTCCTGTTATTATGTATTTCATAGTCGGTGTTGGCCCTGCCTCCATCATGGTGGGTAATTTGGTTGCTGGGAAAAGAATTGCACAGGCTGCAGGCAGAGATCTGGGACTCATAGAGGACCAAGACCTGGTCAGGAAGGTAAACGGAGACTTATTGTGTATTGTGCCCATGCAACTGGAAGTAAATAATGCAAACAGTATCATTTGAAGCAGTTTATTTGAAATGCATTGTGTGGTATTTTAATGCTTTCGTATGGATGCAGCTGTGCATGTGGCCTACAATGATGGTAAGCATTGTGATCATTATGGCACAATCACATGCATGACACGACTTTTGGCATGATATGATTATTTAATGTTTTATTGATGTTATTTGTTTGATGTTATTGATGAGGACCTGTCTATCTTGTCTTTCTTAGCATCAATTCCTTACAGAGGCTTTACAGTGGAGAGCTCAAACCGATCCTGACCATACGCTTTATGTACTTTTGAATGCGAAGGTAAAAAAAATACACACAAAAAACAGAGTGGAAGGACTACACTTGATCAAATCCTTACTTAGAATGTCTAGATTTGCTGGCCAATAATGTGCTCTCTCTCTCTGTCTAGGGAGTGGTAGTATGTACGGCTACATGTGTTCAGCTTCATAAAAGAGCAGAGAAGATTGCAGCTGCTCTCATGGAGAGAAGTGGTATTAACATCGGAGAGAATGTGGTGCTTTTGTATCCACCAGGTAAATCACACATACTTTGTCCTTTTATAGCAGTTAAAAAACTATATTGGAGTAAACCACAAACAAATGGTTAATTGAAGAAAAGTACTCTATCTTATTTCACATGTGAAGAGGATGTTTTCATATAGGTGCCTTAAAGGGGTCAAGAACTGCCTTTTTTGTTTTTTGGTACTGTTCTCTGAGGTCCACTTATAATGTTTTTAAGAGTTTTACATCAAAAACCATAATTTAGAAGTAATAGGCTAGTTTCTGTCCTGTTTTTAACCCCCTCATCAGAACGCTCTGTTTGAATGGTGGATTGTAGACTTGGAAGTAAACACCCATTGCTGTGTTTGGCTAATAGTTGTGTATGTTTGACAGCGTACATTCATTCCTCATAGATGGACACTACTGTGATTTAGGTAAATACGCATAAATAGCTCAATACATATCATACAATCTGTAATAAGAGAAAAAGCAATAGTGACCACGTAATGAAAACAGTTACTCTTACCCTTGTGTGATTCGACATGACTGTCGGATCCATTATAGTCGGCACAGCATCGTCTTTTAGTTTAAATCGTTTTGAAAATCCCGTGTCGAATTGTGCCTTGTTTGAAAAGGAATCTGCTATGAAATGAAGTGAACAAAGGACAGAGTTCTTACTGACGCAGTCTGGATCTTCATTAAAAATAAAGTTCATCCACTCTTTCCTAACGTTGGGATCAGAAGGAAGGAAAACAAAGACTGATTTTCCACAACTTGGTACTGCACAGCGTCTTGTTGTCTTTGGAGTCATCTTTATCATTTAGTTTCTGCGTAGATCTGTGTTTCCCCTCTGTTTATTTACACTACATGCACAAATCGGTGGGCAGGGCTAAACAGGCAGTGATGTAGAAGCGGACCCTGATGTTCTTCGGTGGAGGCAGTGCTTATCCACACTATTACCTTATAGTAATAGCACATTCCAGAACCTGTTGTTTTGGCAGACTGGCTTCAATATTTGCTGTTTTTAGACTGAAACTTATAGAATGTTTTTATAGTACAGTGAGATCTTATATGCCAAAAGATCAAGGGAACTTTGGTTTCTCAGTTCATGACCCCTTTAAAGGGGCACTAAAACGATTAAAATTAAAAATAAATAAATAAATAAAGCTGAAATCTAAATATTAGATTATTAGAAAACTTCAACAAAATTAGAAACGTTGTCTTGACAAGCAACTGAAATAAGTTGAAGTCCTAAATTCTTAGAACTATAACTGAAAAAAATTAAAGCTAAATAAAAACACATAACAAAATTACTAAACCAAACTAAAAATTTAAATGAAAACTCAAAATGTAAACATAAAAGCTAAAATATGAATTAATAATATAATTGTTTATGAAGAAATAATACTAAAAAACACTGGTAAAACTGGTCTTTAATTCTAAAGGTCAGTCCAGGAGAAAATGATCATTTAAAAATAATTTAATGATTTTTTACACAATTAAAAATGTTGCCTTGCATTTGAATTTTTTTGTGTGTGCAGGTATAGATCTGATCGCAGCATTTTATGGCTGTTTGTATGCTGGTTGTATTCCTGTCACCGTGAGGCCTCCACACCCACAGAACCTCTCTGCCACTCTGCCCACTGTCCGCATGATCATTGATGTAAGTCTGTGTGTTTGCATCTGTTGAACACCTTGATTTGGTTGCGTTTTCTTTTAACTGCTTGGTAGTGAAGGCTCTTCAGCTGCCAGACTCTTACATTGTTCACTTTTCTTGCATCTCTCCTGGTTTCCTCAGGTCAGCAAGGCTGCTTGCATTCTCACTACTCAGGTTTTAACCAAGATTCTCAGATCTAAAGAAGCAGCAACTACAGTAAACATAAAAACATGGCCCATCATAATAGACACAGGTAACACACACCAGTCAGTTTTCAATACAGCTGTTGTGCAGAACATACTGTACATTGCTTGTATAATAATAGGTTCAAGTCATGTGACATGACATGATATGATATGATATGATACGATACAATATGATATTATATGAGAATTTAGCATATACACTTTCATTGAAACAACTTTGAGTTTTGTGTAACAGCTTGACTAATAATAGACTCATCACCACAATACAGTCAATTTAAGCACTTACAAGTCTCCATGTTACATAAAATAACAACATAAACTTCCCGTCCAGAAACACGCAAAGCAAGCAAGTTTAGAAATATATCTATAATTAACATGTCCATAATTTTCCCCAGATGACTTGCCTCGCAAACGACCTCCCACAATCTACAAACCGCCCAATGCTGAGATGATCGCCTATCTGGATTTCAGTGTCTCAACCACAGGCATGCTGACAGGAGTGAAGGTGAGAGATCTTTCATAATTCATAATAAGATATGTTTCATAATTATTTTTAGCAGGGTCATTGAATAACTGACCAATCAGAGATGTTTCAAATGGATGGGATGTTGTTAATACACAGTGGTGTCCTGAAACCTAAAACCACTATTGAAAATGTTTCTATTTTGCTATTTTCTCTTTTAAAATCGCAAACCATTTTATTTTAAATAATATTTACTGATTTGACAGTGTTATCTTAGATGTTTTGGACCCCACTGTAGCAAATATCTCCCTCTTAGTTGTACTGTACATTTGAAACTCCCCTCTCTGATTGGTTGTCTATCAGATCTCTCATGCGGCTGTGAGCGCTCTCTGTCGCTCTATAAAGCTGCAGTGTGAGCTGTACTCCTCTCGCCAGATCACCATCTGCCTCGACCCCTACTGTGGACTTGGATTTGTGCTCTGGTGCCTTGCGAGGTAACAGATGGATACACACAAACAGTCACATACAAATGACTCATACTAAGATAAAAATGACTCACAGCTTTGTGTCATCTCATGCAATGGCTTGTTCTCTTCAGAATGGATATGAATATGTTTTGAAGGTATTATAAACCTGAAATGTGCCTGTGTTTTACAGTGTATATTCAGGTCATCAGTCCATCTTGATCCCTCCTATGGAGCTGGAGAGCTCGCTGACCCTGTGGCTAGGCACGCTCAGTCAGTACCGCATCAGAGACACCTTCTGCTCCTATTCAGTCATGGAGCTCTGCACCAAGGGCCTAGGTGGACAGACAGACATGCTGAAGGTACGCTCAACTGCATATTTACACACCATTAAAGGCACAGTTCACCCAAAATGACAATTCTACCATCAATTGCTCACCCTCTTGTCGTTCCAATCCTGTATGGCTTTCTTTCATAGATCCATGGACTCAAAAGATCCATACAATCATGGATTCAAAAGATCCATGAAATTTTTTTTTTTTTATCACGTTCTTCTAATGTTCTTTGTGTCCATCTGACTTCAGGCACGTGGTGTGAACCTGTCATGTGTGAGGAGCTGTGTGGTGGTTGCTGAGGAGCGTCCACGCTTGGCTCTCACACATTCCTTCTCCAAGCTGTTCAAAGATCTTGGACTCTCCATGCGGGCTGTCAGCACTGCTTTTGGGTCAAGAGTTAACCTGGCCATCTGCCTACAGGTAAATTATCTGAACTCAGCAAATTGATTTTCCTTTGCACCTGCTGTAGGCAACAATATACACTCTTCTTACTGATCCATCATCTCTGTTACCAATAAATGCCCCTGTTGAAAAAACCAGCATATGCTGGTTAGGTATGTTTTGAAGCATGGCTGCTGGTTTGAGCTGGTTTAAGCTGGTCCTTAGCTGGTCATGAGCTGGTCCTAAGCAATTAGCTCCTGCTCAGGACCAGCACATGACCAGCTTAAACCAGCTCAAACCAGCAGCCATGCTTCAAAACATACCTAACCGGCATATGCTGGATTTTTCAACAGGGGCATTGGTGGGAGGTTGTGGATATGTGATGTTAATATTTGATGTGCAGCTGATCTGTATGTTTGGTGGGTTTGTATTTTTCACAGGGTACCACAGGGCCAGACCCCTCAACTGTTTATGTGGACATGAAGTCCCTCCGGCATGACCGGTAAGATAAGGACAAACACATATAAACACACACAAAACAAACAGTGTTTAAATACTAAAAGTTAAGTGTGAAATATCACTTTTTGGCCAAACTGAATTGTGTTTGGTGCCATTAAAAGAGCAGAAATCACAGTTTTTGTGAAGTTTTTCACAGTTTTAAATAGTGCAGAATTCTATCAATTATGAGACCGGGTTTTGTCAAATATGAAAAAAGCTCCAGAGCTGCTGGTTCCTCCCGGCTCTTAGTGATTATGTCATGTAATAAACACTCTTTCTCCTTGTACAACACTGATGATGGTGTTTCTGTGTTATAGGGTGAGGTTAGTAGAGCGAGGAGCGCCACAGTCACTTCCTCTTGTGGAGTCTGGAACAGTAAGCACATTTCCACTGTTGGATCAGGCATAAATTAAATTGAAAATAGTGTTAATGCCTTTTCTCCCTCTTTTAGATTCTTCCTGGGGTGAGGGTGATCATAGTCAATCCAGAAACTAGAGGACCGCTAGGGGACTCTCACCTGGGAGAGGTGCGTTTACATAGGAGAATAATAATTGGGTGTTTCTTTAGCTTTGTGCTTTTTTTTAGAAAATGAACTACCTTATAACACACTTCCAATCATTCTAATATTATTTTATTTGTATACTAACAATCATAAGAGAATAATTTTTGGAATACAGTGATTCCTTTGTCTTGCTAAGGCTGATTTTTAAATAGTAATAATAATAAATAAGAATAATTTGGCTAATAATTTGAGAAATCTACAGTTTGACTGGAAATAATACAAGATAAGTGATATTTACCTGGATTTTTTCTTTGTCCATCAAAAAAGATTAGATTTCTTATCCAGTAATACACTTCTTTCTTTCCTAGATTTGGGTAAACAGTCCCCACAATGCAACAGGATACTACACTATATACGGAGAGGAAAATCTGCAGGCTGACCACTTCAACACTAAGCTGAGTTTTGGAGATCCTCAAACACTCTGGGCCAGAACTGGATACCTGGGCTTTGTCAAGAGAACTGAACTCACAGACTCCAGTGGAGGTGAGAGAGAGAAATAAAAATGGATGAATTAATGGCAATTTTAATGCATACCAAAATAGTTTTAGATTTGAAAAGATTTCAAATAAAAAAGTTGTAAAATGAATGAATATATTCCTAGATTCTGAACTGTTTATGGGTCTCTAATAAAAAACACATGCATTCTTGTAAAAATGTTCTTGCTTGCTAGATCGTCATGACGCCCTGTTTGTGGTGGGCTCTCTGGATGAGACTTTAGAATTGAGAGGTTTGCGATATCATCCAATTGACATCGAGACCAGCGTATCACGTGCCCATCGCAGCATTGGTGAAAGGTAAAGTCCCAATGTCACACTCTTTGCATAATTTTCATTGTGCAATCATGCTGTCCATTACCTCTTATTTGTTTTTCCCCTCTGCAGTGCCGTGTTCACCTGGACAAATCTGCTGGTGGTGGTGGCTGAACTCTGCGGGTCCGAGCAGGACGCTTTAGACCTGGTTCCTCTGGTAACCAATGTAGTTTTAGAGGAGCACCATCTGATTGTGGGTGTAGTGGTTATCGTTGACCCAGGGGTCATTCCCATAAACTCCAGAGGAGAAAAGCAGCGAATGCACTTGAGAGACTCCTTCCTGGCAGATCAGCTGGACCCCATATACGTAGCGTACAACATGTGAGTTGAGTCATGGGTGATACAAAGGCTTACCAGAAAGGTGCTATGGAGCCTGGCCTCACAACTGGGATTGGGTCCTTATACAGACAGACTTGACCCTGTTTTTTCAGGGATAAGGTGTTATTGAACAAAAATTACAAATGTGTGAGATGACTGTTTTGGAGAAGGGATATTATAATAGAATTTCCCTTTTGCTCACTCCCTTCTCCCCCAGAACACCACCCCCTTCAGCAAAATGCCACTTACTGTCTGTCCAGTTCTTGGTCATGATTTAAATTTACTTGAATTGCATAGCTGTTTTTTTCTACTCAAATGCACTCCTATTCTAGTACTGTCTAGCTAGTAATTTTCTTTTAATTAAAATGAGCTTAAAGCCTCAGTTTGTAAGTTTTCACCTGGGTTGTTCGATTCCAGAATTGTTGATTCTGATTCCAAGTTTTTGGAATCAATGGAATCGATTCCAGGAGTCAATTCTCAGAATAAGTATAAAAGGGAGACAAAGTGAATTCTCAAAAAGTGCAATATAAACTGTAATTTATACGATTATGATCACTAGAATGAATGATAGGAGATCTTGATGGATGGATGAGCTACAAAAGACATGAGTCGAGGAATTATGTAGATTTAGCAATATAAATTCTGTATCTTAAATTAGTGTTGTTACAACTTTCTTGGGATGTGTATTAGTGTGCTAATCAAGTTAATGAACAGACTAGGACACCATGCCTCTGAATCCCAACAGCAAAGAATGGAAGATTAGTTTCTTTTAGGATATAGCATTAAATGATTCTGAATATATACACAGAATTGATCTGCAACCCAGCTTATTAATGGTGCTGTGTGTTACAGGGTTTTAAAATGAAACATTTTTGGACAGCATTGGGGTAATAGGGGTATTGATACTCCCCTGGTCATTTGTCATTCATCAGATGCTTTTGTCCAAAGCAGCTAATAGTATACTTATGACACAGGGACAGTCCCTCCAGAGCAACCTGGGGTTAAGTGCCTTTCTCAAGGGCAGTATTGATTATAGGACATTTCTGTAACGCTCTGGTTCATAGAATGCCCTTACCCAGGTTAAAACCCACAGTTTCATCCACCATCTTTTTGGTTAAAACACAAATGTGCTACAGAGACTGCAGCCTTCAGCTCATTTTGCTCTGTTTGCTGTCTGTTCTGGAACCATTTAGCAGTTTAAATCTTACCACTGGGGCTTTAACGAAATTTCAGATATGGAGCTATTCTGGTTACAAACGTACATATTTTAATTTGTTTTAGTTTTACAGTACACAATCTACAGCTGTACTAGAAAAATTGCAATGTAATACCCAAAAGTATATAACTTTCTTTTTTTTTATTCTTTTAGTTTTGCAATTATATATTACACTGAAAAACTTAATTCCCTCAACCCCACAAGTTCAGCATGAGGATAATCATCACTGTTATTTTTCATTATCCTTTATGCACTTTATTAGATAAATGCAGATACATTCTGTAACATGGATTATTAATATCTGTCAACAAGGGCATATGTGTAGTATTATATAAATACTTGCATTACTGAGTAGCATATGACTTACACAAAAATGCGCAGGCACATAAAAAAAACACATTTTTGGGGCTTAAAGGGTTAGTTCACCCAAAAATGAAAATTCTGTCATTAATTACTCACCCTCGTGTCGTTTCAAACCCGTAAGACCTTCGTTCATCTTCGGAACACAAATTAAGATATTTTTGATGGAATCTGAGAGCTGTCTGACCCTGCATAGACAGCAACCAACTGAAATGTTCCCAAGTCCAGAAACGTAGCAAGGAGATCTGTAAAATAATCCATGTGACATCAGTGGTTCATCCGCAATTTTGGAGAATATCCGCTGAACGTAAACAACGTCACACGGATACGCTGTTTCCGTTCAGATCAAATCACAACAACGTAGGAAACAGATCCGCATACGTTGTTTACGTCCAGCGGATATTCTCCAAAATGGCACAAGGGTGATGCGGAGGAGACGAATTGTTGAAAAGTTTCCGTTCAGATCAAATCACAACAACGTAGGAAACAGATCCGCATACGTTGTTTACGTCCAGCGGATATTCTCCAAAATGGCACAAGGGTGATGCGGAGGAGACGAATTGTGGAAAAAAGTTGTTGTTTTTTTCTTTTGCGCACAAAAAGTCTTCTCGTAGCTTCGTATAATTGCGGATGAATCACTGATGTCACATGGATTATTTTACAGATCTCCTTGCTACGTTTCTGGACTTGGGAACATTTCAGTTGTACTGCTGTCTATGCAGGGTCAGACAGCTCTCAGATTCCATCGAAAATATCTTAATTTGGGTTCCGAAGATGAACGACGTTCTTACGGGTTTGAAACGACATGAGGGTGAGTAATTAATGACAGAATTTTCATTTTGGGGTGAACTAACCCTTTAATGCCCAGTCTAACCTCAGTACCTACATTTACAAATCACACATTCCTTGAGTTTACTTTTTAACATAAAACAGTAAGACAAGAACATTCACCAACTGCTAACCTCATCATCACACACTAAGCCCAAACCAAACACCAACTGAGGAACGTAAAGCTCTATTTTTGCTCTCATCTAAAGGTGCTTATAAACATCAGGACAAGCCATTTAAACCTCTGAATGGCAAAAAAAAGGAATTCAGGCATCTGTACAATAAAATAAAACAACTGTAAAATAACAAAACTCTGTACAAGCAAGCCCCTCGTGAACACCTAACTGTACAAAGGCATCGATTTTACATGTTTGGCAAAGGATCTTTAAAAGACAGTTGCGGTCTGCTGTACGATAGACATTTTTACTAGGAATGACTAACTTCTTGTAAACCATAAATAATTGTAAATTATTGCTTGTGTACAGATGGGAAATTCTACTGTACTGTAAGTTAGTTGCTGTATTCTGTCGGATTTTTGGATTAATATTAACTACTGTCATTGACATCCCTTCGTAGCTGAGCGGGGGTCTGAAGTTGAAGGCTTCTTATAAATAGCTTGCTCTGTTTCTGTTTTTTCTTTTCTGGTTGATCAGAAATGTGATGGGTTGAAGTCTGTCTGTCATGCATTTCTATTTAGAATTCAGATTCAGAAATTCTACAGTATGTACAAATCTTTAAGATGTAAGCATGATAAAGTCAAGCACTGTGGGGGCTTGAAAGACTATTTTCAGAGTCCTTACACAACTGATCACTACAGTATGTTAGCCTGACCTCATTCTGGGGTTGTATATGTATGCGTATGTATGGCCACCGCGTTGAAAGGTCATTTGTTTGCTGATGAGTTCCACAATACCTTTTCCCAAATAAGAGACACTGTCATGAAATGTTTTCTCTATTCTCACTGTCATTAATGGCATCAGAGCTGAGCTTATGTGATGAAAGCACAAGCGAGTGAATGAGCTTTTTACATGGGGCATTCAGGGAAATAGTGCTTTCCAGGATGGAGAGGATATTCATTTATAAATATTCACTTTCCTGTTTTGCAATGATTTTGTTCTTTAATAATTCAAATAATTTATTTGTCATTTACATAAGTGTTAACCAAGTCTTAATATGGACAAGAAACAAAACAAAGCAGAAAATTAGACAAAGTCGGTTCAGTTAATTGATAATCTGTTATGCCAGCTAAGTGCTGGAACAAAAAGAAATGTTTGACACACTATGCAACCAGCTGCAGTTACAAAGGACACATCCGGCAAAGCAACGTACACACTTAACCACTATACAAGAAATAAAAAAATACAGATTATTTGCTTGCTATAAAATGGGAACATGCAACAGTAACTTGCCTTTTTTTGTTTAGACAATGCATATTACTTTTCTGTGTTGATTAAAACTTCTGCAATTCTCTGCTTCTGCAAAATAGCATTTTTAATTACAAGATTGAGAGAACACATTCCAATTATAAGAATCGGATACGATTTCTTTTAGTCATTCATGGATATAAAAGAAAGTCATGATTATGCAAGCAAGCATTTTCCTGTTGGTTCACATCTTTCTTTTTTGTACATTGGTTATTGTAACTGTTTTATACTCCAATGAAAACCACGAAAAAATAATAAAAGGCTTTTATTTTGCATCTCTGAAGTTTGTTTTTTATAACTATCTATCTATCTATTTTTCTATCTATCTGACCTTTTGGTGAAAGTGGCCTACACAATGCTTTAATATCACAGCTTTTTGGAGAAAAAAGTTTATTTCTCAGTAAAATATGTGTCATAAAATTATTAATTATACAATTATTTAATTTTATAGATAACTGCACTGCGTTTTCTTATTATTTTATTAAGGAATGAAAGTTTCAAACAGATTGAAACAGTTAATAGCTGCCATGTACAGGTTCCTTCAAAAATGCAATATTAAAATTAACTACATTTTTTCCCCAAAAACAAATTCAACATCATAGCTGGGGCTGTATAACAGGAACATTATATTGTTAAGAATTTCTCCATGAAACTTAATAGGGTTTCATTTTTTTGTTCTTAATAATATGAAGAATTCGTGCAGCGACTCCACTTCGAGTACAAATAATGTACATTTTGAAATACAGTTTGCACATCTTTGTTTGTGAATATAGTATTTGCCAAGCAGAATATAGAAATTCATAAAATTGCAGTGGTTTCATTCAAGTCCCCAGACCCCCTTTACGTTTCAGTGATATTGACCAATCACAAAGCTTAATACAGATTTACGTAACACGTCCTTCTAGAGGGCGGCGCTTATTGCGGCCTTTAGAAAAAAACCCTCAAGCCATCTAGATTTTGTTTTCAATGGAAACCGCCCAGGTTCATTCTATGCATTATTAAATCATTTACAAATTATATCTCGAATCCTGGCATCTCTATAGACGGCTTTATTGTTTCCAGGAGCGGTTCAAACGGATTGAAGGTAAGGCGTTGACTTTGTTCTGTAACGTTACTCTTCCTCCTCTGTCGCTGCAGTCATGGCGCCCGTCCGCTCGGTTGTAGCACTCGTTACGGGAAGGTGTTTTAATGGCTCCCCGTATCGCTGACGTCTGTTGACGCGGGCATTTGCGTGCCAGTGACTCGCTTGGAACTTTCTGCAGAGCGCGGCATAAAGTCGCCCACAGGCTTCACAACACACCGCAGCGGTTTGCTTTATTTAGAGATGCGCTTTTGATCAGGATCTCATGGAGGAATAAGACTTTAAGACGCTGCCACTCGTTAAATATCTGCAACATCGCTAAAAAAAAAAAACAACAACAAAAAACGAGCTGTTTCTGGTAATGGAGCTTTTTGTGTAGTAGAAACAAGCCTGCTTCTAAATACCGGCCGAATCTTGTGTATTGTGACAGATAATTCCTTAAATGAAATCATTGGTAGCTGTGTTTTTTTATTTATCATGTTAACTTTAACTGCTTGTAGCTTTAGATTTTTTGTTTTAAACGTGGACTTTTAACAGACAATATTATCGAAAATGTTGAATCAACAGGTCAGTATAGCTCGCAATGTTATTATGGCTTTATTAAAATAGAAATTATCCCGATATTGCTTGTTTTTTCGAGGACTGTGCGTATTTGATGGGCGTTATTTAGCATCCGGTTCTGCATGAAGTGCTGTTAATAACAACACAAAGCAGCTCCATCTGATTTACTACTACAGGAAGAGTTGTGTCTTCCATGTTAAGCAGTCTTTCTGTTTTTTCCCCCCATTACATTGTAATTTTATTTTCCATTTATTGTACTAACATGATTTTACTGGAATCAAATCATAAATGAGGTTCAGCAATAATGTGTAGAAAGCAACCCACAAGGACAGTGTAAGTGTGTGTGGTGGAGCTGAAGGTACTGACTCAGGGTTGGGGTGAAATGGAAACGGTGACTAAATCAAGGCTTTTGACTGTTAGCCTGGGGTGACCACAGCACACACACACACACCGACCATCCTGTAAGCACATATAAAAACAGCCTGTATTCTTCAGCATTCTCATCTTTGCTGCCAGTCTGCAAAATTGTACATAATTAGACATAGTTTTTCTGTCCTTGGTTCAAATTTGTTTGCCCTGAAAAAAAAAAAAATTCACTGGTCCCCATCTCTTTGAATTATTATTTATTTAATGTAATTTTTCATGTATATATTTTTACACGCATAAGTCTGCAAAATTGTACATAATTAGACATAGTTTTTCTGTCCTTGGTTCAAATTTGTTTGCCCTGAAAAAAAAAAAAAAATTCACTGGTCCCCATCTCTTTGAATTATTATTTATTTAATGTAATTTTTCATGTATATATTTTTACACGCATTATATGTGGATTTGATTTTTTATTAGAAATTCTAATTTTAAGTGTTTTTTAATATGAAATATTAAAGAGTTAGTTCACTCAAAAATGTGTGTGTTTTACTCACCCTCAAGACATCCTAGGTGTATATGACTTTCTTCTTTCAGACTCCAATCGGAGTTATATTAAAAATTGTCCTGGCACTTCTCCGCTCTATCTTTGTAGTGGGCGGGTGTTTCTGTTCAATAGTCCAAAACATGTTAAATAAAGCGCGTGCATCCGTAATAAAAGTTATTGAAAAAGTTATTACAGTTATTTGCAAGGCATTAAAATGTCTGTACATGATCGAATATGTAAGATATTTCAGAAATGGG